CTTCAGCACGATGGCGCTAAATTGAACGGGATTACTTACTTACTTAATCCGTTCCTCTTATACCTTTCTGGTGTCGAGGTTGCTTTTTCCTTTTGATCATTTTACAGACGGTAGGACTCCTTAGACGAGTGAACAGCTCGTCGCAAGGCCTCTACTTAAACACAGGCCAACACAAACACAGAATAAACACAGAAACATACCAAAGATTTATGCCTTGTGTGGGATTCGAACCCACGATCCTGACTTCCGAACCAACGAAGACAGTACGTGCCTCAGACTTCTCGGCTACCATGATGTGGTTACGTTATGGAGAATAAGATATAATAAAGAGTTATACAAATTATGTAAGGAGCCAGAGATCTCAGTGACGATAAAGCTAAAAGATTGCAATGGGCTGGGCACGTACAGAGAATGGATAAGGAGCGTATCCCAAAGAACATATTATACTACAGTACAACAGGCGGTAGGAGACATGCAGAGAAACCAAGAACTAGATGGATTGATGAGCTGAAAGAAGATGCAAAGAAGTTAAGGAGCGTAAGGAACCGGAAGAGAGCAGCGCAGGGCAGAGAGGAATGGAGGGGCTTGATAAGGGAGGCCAAGGCCCGACATCGGGCTGTTGCGCCATAGAAGAAGAAGAGGAAGAAGAAGAAGAAGAAGAAGAAGAAGAAGTCTCAACCTCACACATGTGTCTTCTTATTCATCTGTCTCTTCAGCCTTTATGCATTAGGCCGTGTAGCCCGTTTCAGCTTATAATTAACTTCCAAAACAATTAATCCTCTTTTGAGACTTATTGGAGCTCCGTGGAGGGAAGATTTGTCCATTTCGAGGTCACTACCTACGAAGGACAGCACAAAACACAGAAATGAGCGCCTGTGTAATTTTATGCCCAAAGTGGGATTCGATTGCACGTACCAGCGCTTGGTCCATCACAATACGCGCCTTAGACTGCGCGGATTGTTCATTATGCACAGATAATTTGAAAGGCATGTCCGATGTGCTGTTTGGTGTGCGGACACACTGCGCATGTCCTCACCCCTGCCGGGATGTTTGGTATGTTTTCACAGTATATATCCGACTAAATACACGGATAAAATGTTGAAATAGGTCATGGCCACTTCCTGCACCGAATCTTTTAGTTAGTTCAATGACCTGTGAAACGTAAGTGTTTATTTTCATTTTACCAGTTAATTGGCACGCATTTTGGGGCCCATAGTCAGGGCACCCTGCTCATAGATCACGACAATTTCCATTCTTTAGCGGTGTGGGCTGGTGGCGCCTCCACGTGTCGTGTAGCAAGAATAAACGACATTGAGACTGACGCTGCCCCTGGTGGCAGTGTACAGACTGTTTCATATTTTTGCATTCGGTAAGAATAAAAGTCTTGAAATAGCCCTCTAGACTCGTCATTGAAGGTCATGCATCCAAACATATCGCAGTGCTTTCAGTGGCGGCTGGTTTATTCACTGTAAATGCTGTGGTCTATGTATGTTTAATGATCACGCACAGTGACTGAGGCAGATTTGCGAGGAGCCAGTCTGGGCTTGTTTTTGAGGATAAAAAGAAACTCCGTTGCCTGTAGTCCGCACGCGAACTATACCGAGCGACCGCCGCGTATCGCCGAAGTAAATTCCAACTTTCGCTGATAGAGGGTGTCACGTGCCCAGCGCAGCGGATTCCAACGGCCGTTAATCTCGGTTTTCTAGACCGGAGCCGCTATTTCCTTGAAATAGCTTCTCAGTTATCCTCACGAGGCTGAGTGGACCCCGTTCCAGACCCACTACTTCACAGAAAGTCTGGTAACGCTGGGAATCGAACCCGGGACCTCTGGATCTGTAGCCAAGAACTCTGACAACTAGACCACAGAGGCGGTCTGTTTCGAGCGTTCCGAAATTCGTCTGTAGGAGTTTGAAATGCCGCATGAGACTTAAGTTTCCGGTCGCGTGCCTAGCAAGGCATTTGTATCGATTCTGGTATTCTGACTGGGCACTATCGAGAAGTTTCAGAATTGTATTGGCCTGTGCCACAAGCAGTTCCTGTGTTGCCGTCGTAGAAAATTGTAGGACGGCCCAAATATCGGTTAACTAGTAAACTGTACACCGAAAGACATTAGAAAATTTTTAATACTTACTGAATTTACAGAAAATTTGTTCGAAATGAGAACCTCCATGTTCAGTGCGCAACTCACAACACTGTGATACCGTTCTACAAAATTGAGTGTCAGGTTTATATATGAGCATTCCCGACAATAGGAGAGAACGTTTAGGTTAACTGACCTTTATACCACTCTGTGTTTATTTTTTATTATTATTATTATTGTGGCTCTCCAGCCCTCAATTGGGCCTTGGTCGCTTTTACAGTTTCTTGAGCCTATACACAGTCGGTAGGACTCCTTGGACAGGGGATCAGCCCGTCGCAAGGCCTCTACCTACACACAGAACAACGCAAACATAGGATAAACACAATACACACATCCATGCCTTGAGTAGGATTCGAACCCACGATCACAGCGTTCGAGCGAGCAACGACCCTTGATGCGTTAGACCTCGCGGCCACTGTGATCGGAAGCCACTCTATATATTAAGTAAATAAACGGACGAAACAGGTAATGAGATAATTGAAATGTAAATACCTGTACGTACACAAACAGACATGTTTACTTATGTAATTCGTATTTCTTCAGTTAGGTGGTGTATTACTTTAGAACTGGGGGTGTGGAATGGGAAGGGTAGTGAGTATTTTCAAGGTTGGCGGGGGAGGCAGACGCAGCTGAATGTCCTGTGCTTTTATTGTTCGCTCCCTTTTTGCATATTAATGAAATAGGTTGTCGTTTATTCTTGGGACCCGAAAAAGTGGACCCTGTGATTAATTAGAGACCGCCTCTGAGGTCTAGTGGTCAGAGTTCCTGGCTACAGATCCAGAGGTCCGGGTTCGATTCCCGGCGCTACCAGATTTTCTGAGAAGTAGTGGATCTGGAACGGGGTCCACTCAGCCTTGTCAGGATAATTGATGAGCTATTTCAAGGAAATAGCGGCTCCGGTCTAGAAAACCGAAATTAACCAACGGTCGTGGGGATCTGTTGCGCTGACCACGTGACACCCTCTATCCGCTAAAGTTGACATTAACTTCTCCGAAAGGGCCGCGCCATAGCTCAAGCGGTTAGTCGCTGGCTTCCCACCGCGGCGGCCCGGGTTCAATCCCGTGTCTGGTCAAGTGGGATTTGTGGTGGACAAAGTGGTGCTGGGGCAGGTTTTCTCCGAGTACTTCGGTGTCCCCTTGCCAATCTTCATTCCACCAGTTGCTCGACAATCACCCTCACCTATCATCTGGGGCTGGTACAAGAAGCCAGAAGTGGCCGCAGTACAAGGGACTTAGTCCCACCCCACTAACAATAAAAAAAAAACTTCTGCGACAAACGGCGGTCGCTCGGTAGGTACAGTTCGCTTGCGGACTACAGGTCACGGAGTTTGTCTTGTGATTAATCATACAGCACGCCATGAGGACGTATGAGGGGGTGAATGTTTAGCTGCACACAATCTCAACCTGTTCAGTAGATGGACGTGACTGGTCAGTGTGCCATTTGAGTGGATAATTCTACATTCCGATTAATTAAGATCAATTCAAGGAGGTACGTTTTATTTCTGACCAGTTATTGTGAAAGTAAGTACTGTGTAATTGCATTCAAGATTTGAATAAAAGAGGGTAAAGCTATCCATCTAAGAGACCGTGGAGGCTCGTAAAGTTGTGAAACGTCGAGGCTCCCACATTTATAGAACATCGGCTGACAGATGGCGGTGAGTTTGTCAGCCTTACGCTCCGGCCGCCCTTTACCCCCAGGAACATTCCTGGTACCCTTTTCTGTTAGAGGATCAGTCGAGCCCAGGGTCATAGTGGGGCTGGAAGTATTAGGTTAAACGAAAAATCCATTGACCTCATTGAGAATCGAACCCGTGACCTGCTGTCTTGTAGCATAGTGCCTTAACCAACTACGCTACCGCGTAGGCCAACATTTTGAAGATCCTACAGGTTTGAGAAGTTTCGGTCTGGCCTAGATGTCTGTTTAGATAAATAGCCTAAAGGTTTATGACCGAGTCATATGTAAGTCGTTAATGGTGTTAACGGGTTTATGTTTGCATTTTAGTGGTCTTTCCGCGGAACTAATTTCATTGCAAACCATCTTGCAGATGGCGGTGGAGTCTGGTTTCTTTCGGCGAGTTTCTCTTCCAGTCAGTTGAACACACAAGACGACTCTCCAATCGAATTGAAAGCACTTCTCGATACATCCCGTTTAGTACGAGTAGTTAAAGAAGACTTGTGCCCTAAAAGAGATGGGAATTTATTATCGAGTGGTAACGCTTCCGATTTGTAATGGAGAGATCGCCAGTTCGCATCTCGTCCATATGATGGACTGTCCCCAGTTACGTTTTTGTGATTAGAGGAAGTCTATCCAAGTAGTGGGTCTGCCATGGCGTTAAGAGTTATGATCGCGTGCTCTCACATCCGTACGAACGTAACTATGATCTTGTGGTATTCTGGTTTATGGCACTGTGTAATTTTGTATGTGCACCAACGTTTCGGAGGAACATACTGCCTCCATCTTCAGGGTAGGTGATGGAGTCAGGTCGTTTTTCCGAAACGTTTGTACCCACCTACCGACCTGCACGTCGTCATAATCCAGAAGACCACAGCATGAACCGTCATGGTCATGTAAACCTCTAATTTTGACATAATAAGTGCAAGGGGGACCGCAGCGTACAGTGAGGTTGAGTCACCATGTGGGAGGTACGCAGAACATGAGAATTCCGCGTTTTGTCTCGTCACTGTCCATGACCATAGCCGCCACTGTCCGTCCTGTTAAGTATTTGTGTCGGCGCTATATTGGTGTAGTTGGCCGTAAGCCCGAATGAACAGCTGAATACACTAGGCAGTACAGACTACTTCCCGTGTTATTGTACAATATTTTCCTGCCCACATCTCAAGTCTGCTTCGCAAACTCATTAGTTCAGTTCCTATACATAACGATCATTTCAATAAGAATGCGTCATCACTGTACAAATTCTCGAAATTATAAATTGTAAAATGTTGCATTTGTATTTGAGTAGAGCAGTTGATGACCTACGAAAGGATTGCGTGTCATTTTGGCTGGTGTTCCACTGTAGCATTAGGGAATCCTTAGTTCTTTAGGTCGACCCTCGAAATGAACGAAACCGTGAACTCGAAGAAGAGGCAATGTTGAAGAAGAAGTGGCAGTAAATGTGTCCATCGAAGAGGGCGGTTTAGGTGGTGTCGTATTTTCATTAATTTTCACCGGGGGTGCAATGGTATGTGCGTAAGATGTTTATAATGTGCGACATGCATCTCAACACAGAAAAATGAAAGAAAGTGTGTGCATTCAGTGTTTATCTTCTGGCCGTGAACAGTTGACGCAGACTAGTTATTTTCAAATGTTATTGGCTGTTATCAAATTTCTTTTGAGCGTATGAAATTTATGCCAGTTTCAAAGATCCTAATTTCAAGGTTTCTGTATAGTTTGGCACCTCCTGATTCGTTGTGTTGAGGATGGCATGGCGTGTGAAGCAAAACCTTCGGTTTTCGCGTATTCAATGCGAGTGGAGTGGTTGGGTCTCGACGGACAAACTCAGATTAACAATTCTATCCGAGTGGAATGGAGGGGTGTCGATTTTAGCGACCACCGAGCTGTGTGTGAAGTCGAAGAAACCACCCCTATAGTAGGAGAGGGCAGAATATTGAGTTTAACCCCTCTGAGTGACTCGTTTGCCCACACTGCAAGATGTTTTTTGCATCTGTTGGTGTTGGCTGCACTGATATGTGTATTAGGACGTGGTGCTGGGTTCCGTGTGCTCAAAGTTCCCTTTGGCCCACACAGTTGGGAAGTAGATCCTATAATTTGCGATTGGAAAGTCTCTGATCCTCCTTCCACTCCAAATGTGCGTCCACGGCGTTCTGTTTCTGCCGGCGCAGTTCTTCAAGGGTGCGTCGAAAGAAACAGGAAGCTTGTACACTGCCGTCGAGACATTGAGACTGGTGAAGTTGTCTTGTAAGTTGATCACATTCGTATGCAACCATCAGCTGCGATTTAGTTGATTAATGCATTGGCTACTGCAAGAATATGCTGCAGCTTTGCTCGGAGCCTGTCTCACACATTGATGAATTAATTTATTTCAGATTGTCATGCAGAATAATGTGTACTAAATATCATGTTTGTTTTCTTCCATACAGATCAGAACCTCGTAACACATTTTCAAACTACCCCGCTGAAGGAGAGGAAGAGGAAATTTTGGGATCAGATGACGATGAACAGGAGGACCCTCGTGATTACTGTAGAGGTGATTAATTTTCTTAATTTAATGAAATCCTGCAGATATAAGTGCTAATTAAACATATGTGATCTGACAATAAAGTTCGCGAACTCACCACGCTAAAAGTGTTACATACCTTATTGCTGATATCACTGTGGTCGCCCTCAAAGTACTTCCCCTGGGAATCCAGCGCCTAGTCCACCCTTCAAAACAATTTTGTAACTAGTTTTATGGAATGCCCTTCAGAGGTGCTGTCGTACTACCCTTGATATCATCAGTGTCATCAAAATGCCTTCCTTTCAATATTTTCCCTTATCTTCGGGAACAGAAGAAAGTCACTGGGGGATAGATCACGTGAATGGAGAGGGTGTATCTACGCAGTTATGTGTTTACTAGCTAAAGACTCCCTCACAGACAGTGCTCTGATTCAAGCACCTACATTCTCTTGATGGTACACCAAAACACACCCAGACAATAATAGATACCATTCAGAAAGAGACTGCCATAGATCAACAACAACACAGCTGTGAAACGCTGATACGCCACCGTGATCAAACCGTTTTTTTATTGCTAGTGGGGTGGGACTAAGTCCCTTGTACTGCGTCAACTTCTGGCCTATTGTACCAGCCCCAGATGATAGGTGAGGGTGATTGTGGAGCAATTAGGTGGAATGAAGATTGGCAAGGGAAACCGAAGTACTACTCGGAGAATTCCTGCCCCACCGCCACTTTGTCCACCACAAATCCTACTTGACCAGATCGGGATCGAAGATGTGATCAAACCCTGCTACGGTTTGTATCCACTGCTGCTACGGCAAGCACACGGTGGCAAGTTCGCGAACTTTATTGTCAGAACGCGTGTGTGTTCCTGTAGCATGCTAGGATATTGGTGAATTCTGGAGCCCAGCATGGAGATGTAGGGTTTTCAAAGAAGACATATGAGTGACATCATGTAATGTTTATGTCATGAACACAGGATACTTCTGAATTTTTAATGTGACAGCGTAGCATACTTAATTAGCATGTGGATATGTAATGTAGGGTAAAGTAACAGATGATGGAGGTGCTTAGGGTTGCGAGACGTCTACGCTCCCCACATTTTGTGGACAATCAGCTCACAGACAGTGGTGAGGTTGCCAGCCTTACGCGCCGGTCGCGCTTTACTCTCAAGAATATTCTTGGTACTCATTTCTGTTAGAGGCTGAGTCGACCCCAGGGTCATAGTGCTGCAGGAAGGATTAGGTCAATTAAAAGAAATCCAATGACCTCATCGGGACTTGAACCCGCGACCTTCCGGCTTGTAGCATAGTGCCCCAACCAACTACACTACTGCAAGTTAGTGATATTTAAATTGTGAATTGTAGCCCCAGTGAGAGCTGTTTTAAATGCAGCAGTTAGTTACAATTTAAGGCTTCTTCAGTGTGTCATAAAATGCTGGGAAGCTCTTGAGTAGCTTCACAATTGGCAGCTTCTCAAGAAGGGCTCAGCTCCATGAGTGAGTGAGTTAAATCTGTACATATGACAGCCGCTTAAAAGTTTTATGTGTCATTTGGAATAACATAAACACGGACCAGTACCTGAAGTGGTGTAGAAGGAGGCAGGATGCTATCACACTGTTTTGAGGAGAGTTGAAAGTCCTACTGCTACCCTTCATCAGACCTAAAACCATTTGTACTTTTGTAGTTGTCTGTTAGTACACCATAAAGCCTAATCGTGTATTTCTTCTCCCTTTCACACCCTGACAAATTGGATGTTCAGCATAAAACAGAGTGAAACATGCTGGAATGGCAGAGATTTTCCATTGTACTATCTGTGGACATCTCACTTCAGTAATTTACTGCCCAGAATATTGTGTTAGCAAATCAGAGAAGTGCACTTTTCAGAATGTATGATTCTCGGCAATTTCTTAAATGGTTACACACTGTTTTTTATTACATTCACATACCATGACCGCCTCTGTGGTCTAGTGGTCACAGTTCCAGGCTACAGACCAAGAGGTCCCGGCTTCGATTCCCGGCGCTACTAGATTTTCTGAGAAATAGTGGGTCTGGAACAGGATCCACTCTGCCTCGTGAGGATAATTGAGGAGCTATTTCAAGGAAATAGCAGCTCCGGTCTAGAAACCCGAGATTAACGTCTGTGGGGATCCATTGCACTGACCACACAACACCCTCTATCCGCTAAAGTTTGAACTAACTTCGTCAACAAGCAACGGTCACTTGGTCGGTGTAGTTCGCTTGTGGACTAAAGCCACAGAGGTTGTATTCACATACCATTCTGCTTCTTTTTGTCTCTTTAAATACTGGTAAGAAGTATGCAGAATTGTTGTAATGATTGATGGTTTCTCAATATTATATGTTGTTTTCTGCATCTCTGTATTCTGTATATGTTGATACAAGTGACTTTCAAAATTCCTTAGACATTATGCGGGCCTGATTAACTTTGTCACTCAAAGCTGTCTTAAACATAGGCAGTACAGAATGTTTTAGAATGGTGTCCTGATTGTTTTAAGTGACTTACAGAAGAGTATGTGAAATTTAAGCAGGATCGCTACTAGGTAAGTTCGGGCACATTGGTGCTCGAAAAGTGGAATATACAAGGTGTTTCAAAAAAGAGCTTTATAACTTTGAAATCTTATATAAATTTATACAGAGGACATACACAACGTTTTGAACTGTCATAGTGTAGCAAAACATACCGAGTTTCATGCACGTGGTACTGTAGTACCCAATAAGAATAGTGAAAATCATGCTCACTGTTACTGATTATTGTATAAGTGCAAAAGGATTTCCAAACTCTGAACTTTTGTATGTTTGACTTGAGTTCATTGTTTTAAAAAAAAATGTTACATGTATTTTAAGATCCTACTGTCATCTTTCCTAGGTATAAGTAGTACTAATGTCACTCAGCCCAGAAGTTCGCATGGTCGCCATGTTAATATTATTTATGTTTTACTCCCTATCTTGAGTCGACAAGCGAACTATATTGACCGAGCGACCGCCGCTTGTCGGCGAAATTAGTGCCAACTTTAGCGGCTAGAGGGTGTCACTTGGTCAGCGCAACGGATCCTCATGGCCGTTAATCTCGGTTTTCAAGACCGGAGCAGCTATTTCCGTGAAATAGCTCCTCGATTATCCTCACGAGGCTGAGTGGACCCCTTTCTAGACCCACCACTTCTCAGAAAATATAGTAACGCCGGGAATCGAACCCGGACCTCTAGATCTGTAGCAACTCTGACCACTAGACAGAGGCGATCCATTATTTACGTTAGGAAATTAAAAAGTATGAATTGAGGGATACCCCCTCAGGCCTTCACAACAAGTTTCTTGAAGATCTGTCATTTGGTTCAGAAGTTACTACAGGGGACATGCACATGGGCAAAATATCATAAGGAGTGATTCCTTATGAAATATAACTGTGTATGTAGTAGTATATTCATAATGTATTATTACAGCTAATCTTCTTGGGTTCTCAGACATGTCGATTGGTTAAAAATTATTGCTTCATCGGGGACTGTTTTTGATCCCATCATCAGGGTCTGATGTGACAGCCAAACCATCCTAGCAACACTTCCATACTAGATGTACTAAGTCTGGAAATGATTAGTTCATGTTCTGTTTGCAGGGGGATATCATCCTGTAAAAATTGGCGATCTGTTCCACAATCGATACCATGTGGTCCGAAAGCTTGGCTGGGGTCATTTTTCTACAGTCTGGCTGTGCTGGGACTTGATGTAAGTAAGCACAACATATTAAGCATATATTTTATATCAAAATTTTCACTGATTTTTTTTAAGGAACTAGTTTTTTACATCTTTTCAGGTGGATGTCACGTAATATTCTAAGTAGTTCTTAAAATAGGCCTCAGTCATGTTCTGTCACTTAACCTGTTTCCATGCATCATTCTTTCACGTCTCTTCAAAATGTATAACCTTGATACTGAGAAAGGTGGCTCTCCACCTGCTTCCCACAGTAGCAACCCAGTTTCAAGCCCAGGTCAAGTGATGTTGGATTTGTGGTGGACAAATTGGTACTGACGCAGTTTTCTCCATGTACTTCTGTTTCCCCTGCAAATTATCCTTCCACCAACTGCTCCACATTCATCATCTATCATCTGGGGCTGGTACAATAGGCCAATAGTGGCCAACATACCAAGTGGACTGTCTCACTCCACTCCAAGGAAATAACTAAACTACTAAGAAAGTTGTTTGAGGTGGTTGTGTTTCTGACTTGTATCCACACTGGTTTAAATCCTGGCTGGGACACCAGCTATCATGATTTGTGATTTGTGGGCTTTACGCAGCCCCTCCAGGCAAATTTCAGGGTAGTGCCTTAAATTCTGTGAAGACCACTTCTTTTCACATCCAATCCAATTTATTGTTCACTATTATCCAATCATTCATAGCTATATAGTTGAGTTACTGACAGTATTATTAAATAAACTACAAAAATAATTTTGGTAGTTCATAGAAAATTAATAATAAACTGCGAAATGTACAGCCTCTGACTTTCATTCCACCTCACACTCTGCCTATGCAAACGGTATGTCAACAGACAGAACTGTAACATTTATCAACAGAAAGTAGTGGGAGGTTGATGACATAAAGCGTCAATTATTCTTCTAATAATTTAAGTACAAGCAAAGGCTACAGGACTGAGTATCTTTGCAATTTGAGTTTTTACATATTACATCCATTGTGATCATTGCTAATACTCTTAATGTACACGATTTTCTCCTTCCTTAAATTGTAAAGATTTTCCTGTCTCCCATGTATACCACCTAGCACAGAAGAAATGGATCCAAAATGAAAACTTTTTTCTTAAGGGAATACAATTAGTTCATAGTTCCCTGCAGTGTTTTTACAATGTAAAGTCTTTCTGAGACATCTGACAAATGTTTAAATGTTAAACTTGATCCTGTTTTAGGGCCAAACGTTTTGTAGCTCTCAAAGTGGTAAAGAGTGCTGCCCATTACACTGAGACAGCCCTGGATGAAATCAAATTGCTCAAATGTGTAAGTTTTTAAATTTGTGTTGTTGTATGGATGACAGTCATTTATCTTTATATGAAGTGTCTACTCTAACAGTAGCTGTTTTATGTTAATGACATTTTGTGATGTATTTTGTTGTATTAGTTTACATTAAGTATTGCAGATAAGCTGAAATATCGTCATTATCCCTCCTATTTTCCTTCTTATTTCTTTCTTTCTCATACTCATATTATGAGATAGTGCTGTAAATGCAAAAGAAGTTGATGTCAGAATGTAGCTTCAGAGGAACCTATTGACTTCGTCTTCATGGTAGAAGAGCAAACTTATATGAAGGAGAGTCAGTAAACAAGTCACAAATGGATATAAAACGTGAAATATGTGATATTCAAACCTGAGGAAAACATTTATTTCTAGACATATCCTCCACCAACACTGATACACTTGTACCCATCGCTTTACCAGTGTGTCGAAACCTGCAGCATGTCTTGACTGTTCTCTCAACCAATTCTGCGCTTGTTTGGGCATCACTTGTGGTTTTAGAATGTCCTTGAGATAATTTCTTAACCCAGTTATGAACCGCTTTACACAACAAACTCTTCCCACTGTAAACAGGAAATGTTTCTTTATGAATATCCTTTGCATTAGTCCTCTTGCCCACAGAAAATGCAAAACAGAACACTACTCCTCGGTAGTACACATCTCAAGCACATTTTCCATTTCAACACTGAATCCAGCCTGTGAACATGCGCATGCATGTCTGCTACCTAGACTGTCATGATGCTTAACTATGCTACTACCTACTGATGCTAATAGAGAACGTATTGCTTCCATTACAGCTGTTTTACTTCCTGTCTGATTTACAAGGTGTGTCCCAAAAGTCATGAAATAGACTCTCCCATGCCTGGTACGCCCCCTCAAAGGCCTCGACGGGAACCTCATTTAAAGCTGTTGTCACGGCCGCTTGGATAGCCTGAATACTTTCAAAACGGCGTCCTTTGAGTGCAGTCTTGATCCTCGGGAACAAAAAGAAGTCGGCCGGAGCTAGGTCGGGGCTGTAGGGTGGCTGCGGCAGCGTTGCCACGTGGTGCTTCGCCAGGAACTCACGGATGAGCAGAGACGTGTGGCTGGGCGCATTGTCATGATGCACCGCCAGTTAGCGGCGATGTCTTTTTGCACGCTGATGACCCTTTTCCTTAATCTTTCTAGAACATCCACGTAGTAGGGAGTGTTGACGGTCTGTCCTTGGGGTAAAAACTCTTTGTGGACCACACCCTTGGCGTTGAAAAAGACGATGAGCATTGTTTTCACTTTGGATTTGCTCATCTTCGCCTTCTTCGGTTTCGGGGAAGCCGGGGTGTGCCATTCAGCACTCTGGCGCTTCATTTCTGGGTCATACTCAAATGTACACGTTTCATCACCGGTAATAACACAGTCTAAACAATGAGGTTCAATTTCCACACGTTCCTTCAATTCACTCGTGATCAACACTCAATTGGCCTTTTGCTCATCCGTCAACAATTTGGGGACCAGCTTCGCGCACACCTTTCACATGTTCAATTCGTCTATAACGATGTGATGCACAACGGTTTTTGGAATGTTCAGAGTGTCGGCTAACAACCGGACAGTCATTCGACGGTCAGTATTCAACAAGTCACGCACACGAGTCACATTTTCATCGGTTTGGCTTGTTGATGGCCATCCAGAGTGGGGGTCATCTTCCACTCCTTCCTGGTCCTCCTTAAACTTCTTCACCCACCTTGTAACTTGCACATATGATAGAGCAGACTCCCCATAGGCTTGCCTAAGCAGTTCGTGAGTTTCGGCAGCTTTTTTGTTGATCTTTGTGCAGAACTTGACCGGCCAACGTTGTATCGCACGCCGTGACATGGTCACAAAACACAGGTGCACTAAATCAGTGATACTGACGCCTCCGATGCTCAAGCAGACTGACCTTGGGCACGCTGTGAAGCTAAAGGCCTCCCCCCCCCAACCCAACCGGTTCCAAGCGCCCCGACCAGTAGGAGCGCGGGAAAGAAACATATTTCATGGCTTTTGGGACACACCTTGTATTTACCGACTCTCCCTTGTATAATTTTACCTAATGTTTTATATGGATGTGACACAGTCAAAATGTATTGTGGCTACTCCATTGCCTATGATCATCCTGCCAGATGTCATTTCATAGTACATGACTTCTGTAGCTCACAGACTAATAATTATTCACGAACGTCTTAACATTCATTGAGTATTATGTCCACAGTAATTGTCCATGTTAGAGACTATTTTCCATTTTAAAAATGTGTTTTCTGCTTGAAATTAGGCTCTGTTGGGCCAGGGACATATTTCTGGTTCATTAAGTTTCCATTGTGAGAAAATTTGTTCTTAATGTCATGAAACCTAGATTTTGCCTTGAATGCAACAGTAACATTATCGCAAGCTTCAAGAATTGGAATATAACAAGTAACAGACTTTAGTGACAGATGAAGAAGAACGTGAATTAGTGGAATGTTTCTTCACAGGTACGAGAAAGTGATGTAGAGGACCAGAAACGAGACAAGACTGTTCAATTGTTGGATGACTTCAAAATCAGTGGAGTAAATGGAACCCACGTATGCATGGTCTTTGAAGTGTTGGGTCATAACCTCCTTAAATTGATTATTCGCAGCAACTACCGGGGTATTCCATTGAAAAATGTGAAAGTCATCGTAAGACAGGTACTTCTAAGATACTTTTGCTAAATAATAATTTTGACTGTCTCAGTAACATTATTATAAGAAATAAAATAAGTTACATTTAAATGGTTATGATTTTATAAAAGTAATTTAGTAAATACATGTATTTTATTTAGCCGGTCACGTTAACCGAGCGGTCTAAGGCGTGCACTGTCTTCGCTCGCTCGGAAGCCGGGATTGTGGGTTCAAATCCCACTCAGGACATGGATGTTTGTGTGCGTTTTTCTATGTTTGTGTACAGGTAGAGGCCTTGTGATGAGCTGATCACCCGCCCAAGGAGTCCTACCGAATGTGTAAGATCTAGAAAAACCGAAGTGAACGGAGAAGTTCATGGGGGTAGGCCTAGGCTCACTGGGGCTGTAGTGCCAAGGAAAAAAAAATATATTTTATTTATTTTACAGTGGGTTCTCAATTATCCTTGAAAGATCATGTGATTTATAGATTAAGCAAGCCAGTATCCTAAATATCAAGGCCGAGGTTATGTACACAGTGTCCATCTCAGCTTTTCATGTTTCAAACCTTCCCTTCTGTTACCCATTGCTCATGAGAGCAGTGAGCAGATGGTCTGAAGTTGACTGTACAATTCTTGTTTATGGATAGGCAAAATTAAGGATGAAGACAAAACACTGATTGCAGAAACTATAGAAAATCATAAATAAATAGGTAAATTTTACAAAAGTCTGAATATTAACATATTTGAATACCAGTAATAATTGCAGAAATTTTTAAAATTCCTGACATGCTCCTTTATGCTCAGTTACCTTTGGTTTTTATGCACTTACTCATCTCTTTTCAGGTGTTGGAGGGGCTAGATTATCTTCACAGAAAATGTAACATTATTCATACTGACATAAAGCCAGAAAATATCCTTTTATGTGTGGAGGAAAGTTATGTTCGTAAATTGGCATCTGAAGCCACTCAGTGGCAGAAAATGGGAATAAAACTACCTGGATCTCTAGGTATGCAACATAGAATAATGAATTCCATTACATTACTTTGAATTTAAAATTCACACCTCACTCACTCTTGGAGCTGACCACTTCTTGAGGAGCTGCCAATTCTGCAGCTACTCAAGAATTTCCCAGCATTTTATGGAACCCGAAGGTTCATTATCGTGTTCACAAGAGCCCTCCACTGGCCCCTATCCTGAACCAGATCAATCCAATCCATGCCATCCCATCCCATCCTATCTCTCTAAGATCCATTTTAATATTATTATTGTCGTGCTTGCCTGTAGTATAACGCACGCAGTCACAGGAGCAAGACACAACAAAGAGCACGATACACACGAATGTATGAAGTGCTCCGACAGAGGAGGATTGGCGTGATTTGCATGTTGAGATATGACGTAAGGATGATGAATCCTGAAAAGTTTTAATATTTAAAATCTATTATATATGACGAATATATATTTTAGTCATTTTAATATGAAGACATCAGGGCATGCAATGCAGTAGTTAGACGTGCATAGAGAAAACGCACCTGGAGATGGCACATTGGTGCTGAAACATGTAGTGCAAAAGAGAAGAGTAAGGTGAAAAATTGTACGCACTGTAAGACGGTTAGCATAAATCATGGACATTTCTCAATTTATGTTTAAATTTATTAATGTCATATGCAACTTGCTTGATATTGAGGGGCAGGGGGTTAAATAATGTAATACAGGAATAGTATACTCCTTTTTGAACTTCAGTTAGACTTACTAAAGGAACGTGAAGGTGTAATTTTTGTCAGGTATTTATTTTATGCAAATCATAATTTATTATAAATAAATCTTTATGCTTTACAACAAACATAAGAGTTGAAAAAATGTATTGGGAGTAAAAAGTTAAAATTCTTTCCAATTATTATACCATACCATTATAATTATTTCCAAGTATTAATAAGCTCCATGGACCTCTTATAATTTAGTGTGGATGGTGGGTGTTTTACTCTTGGAAATGCAATTGGGACTTTTCTGTTAACTATAATATATAACACATTGAAATCATTGTAGTGTCCATGCAGTCTCCTGTCCAGTGCAGAGAAATAAACAAGTATATATATAGTAGGCACATTATTTTTGTGCTAATACCACACTGTTTTAGTTCTTGCATATCAGAAGTGTCCTCAGGCTTGAAGTAAGAATACCATCGCACATCTCTTCCCATAGCCAAGATTATAGCTATGTGCCCCCTTTACGATCTTGGCTTGATTCCAAGCACAGAAAAAGAAAGCTTTGTCCCATGGGCTTATCATCTTTGTAATTTTTTTTTAACTGAACAGATAAATAAGTAAATAATGTAATATTATTTCTGTTCATCAGTAAGCACAGCTCCAAAGGAGTATCAGGCTCCTGATCTTAACGCCAAAATGTCCAAGAATAAGAAGAAGAGATTAAAGAAAAAAGCTAAACGCCAGGCTGAGCTACTAGAAAAGCAAATCCAGCAACTTGAAGAATTGGAGGAACTACCAAACAATTCTGCAACCCACGAGGAAACTGGTGATCTGGAAACTGAGGTGGATGGTGATGGAGACGCAGATGCAGCGGAAGATCCAGATTGTGATGTTGGGAATGAAGGACCAAGTACTGGAGAATGTGAAGGTGTAAAGGTTACAGCACCCACATCTGCACCTCTACCCCGGATACCAGCGCATCATTGCATAACTGCATTGGAACCAACTGCTGACCATGCCAGCCTTGAACTGCCTACCACCTCCAAGACAGGCTCAATAAGTGCGTCAATACTGGATACCAAAATTCAACAACAGGATTCTGTTGCTGATATTAGTCCTCTACTCAATGGTGATAAGACAGTAAAGCCTAAAAGTAGTGAGTATTGATCTTTCAATTAATATAGCATAATCGGTATAGTGCTTGGCTATGGGCTGGACAGCTGAGGGATCAAAGTTTGAGTCCCGGTAATGTCAAGAACTTTCTCTTCCCCACATCATCCAGCCTCCTGTCCATTGGGTACCAGGGTAAAGTTGCAGGGGTGTGACACTAACCACTACCCTCAAACTACTGCTGAAGTCAAGAAAATGGGGATCTATACATCCACTCCCCCATATGTCTTCATGGCGTAGTGCTTAATTAGTTAAGCACACAGACAACTTTACCTTTACTTTAGGAGAATGGCATTCTTGATTTTTCTTTCCCTTGACAAAAGTTATGGAAATTGTTTCCCGCCGAGTTACACGGTATAACTTCTATCATATGCTACGAATGACAAGACATATTCAGTGGAACTGACTGGTTATCCCTAGTGGTTCACGAATTCAGTACTTAACAATTTTTGTGGAAGAAGTCGTCTGGAAAATAGGAAAAAGCTTCTTTACATTTTTTTTGTCCCCCGTGTGAAGACCATTTTTGGGAAATTCAGATATATAAGGGATCTTTACAACATTAGGATAGTCTTCAACACAAACATATTCGTAAAAATTCGCTCATGAGAACCAGACCAGAAAGAATTCCACAGCGTACATTAAGTTGCATGTTTGGTATTTCCTGTAAATGTGGCGGAACTTACACTGATGATGCAGGTACGCCACTAGCTGTGCTGCTCTGGGAATGTGGGCATAAGCTTGAAAGACTCTAGACTGGCCTAGCATGCCTATGAAGAAGGTCATTAGATAGGGAGGAATGATGTCAGAATGTTGCAAATTGACACTACCAGCAGCTACAGGAAATAACAAGAAAGTGCCCACACTGTGTATTTTACATCCTGTAAACCAACTTCTCCCACATGTATTGTCCTTATCGGCAAGAAGGTTGGTAACTTAGATCAGAGTTCAGTAGCATCTGGTAGGCTGTTCTTGCTTATCTCTGGTATTGTCATTTGGGCATTCTGTTTTCCTTCCACAGAGGGCATTAGTGGCAGGAAGGTATTGTTCTTGTATGGGACGGAAATTTCGGTCTTCTGAGGAAGTGTCTGTGAGTTTGGTTTGGTCCACTGCAAATTTGTTTATTGTCTGCCATTGACAAACCCTGATCCCAGGAACGTATAAAGATATACTCAACAGCTCTTTCATTTTAACAGACCTAAATGAACAAGTGTCTTCCTTCCTTCTCATATGAGAACTGAAATACTTTCATGCCAGAAACGTTTTTTTTGTAGAATATTAGGTGATAAACGAATCTAAAAAGTCTGTAATCCTGAGTGTCATATAACATTAACAGAACCCTTCAGAACTCTTTACAACGTTCTGTTCTACAACACAGAGTCATTAGTGTGGGATTTTGCTAGCAGCAGATTTGTACAGTTTTTGTACATTAATGTTCTTTTGTTATGTGGGAGTGGGACAGCTCACCAGTCTTGTTTATTTTTATTTTGTATAATGTTCAGTTTAGAATAATGAACCAGATGTGACCTCTGATGACTTGTGGGAAAATGTGAACATCTTACTAACATCCTCATTTTCTGCAGAAGTACATATTCTAGCCAATTCTTCTATAGAGAATTTCGTATTGAGAAACCAAATAAATACTAAGAATTGGCATCAGTGCATAACATTCAACACTGATACTGCACTGAGTCATCACAGATATGTGTGGTCATCACAGATTTTAACCAAACAACTGTGGTACAGCACTGGTCCATAACTGATACGACACTGATATGTGTGAATGGACTTTTCTCTTGTCTTGAATAGCTTTGTTTTCGTGGGATGTGGAGGTACAGGTGTATTTTGTTCCTATGCCAACAGCACTAGAGAACAGAAAGAGTTTTGCAGAAATGGAACATGCAGAAGTGAAACCAGCTGATATACACACACTGCTAGAGATCCCAGACTCAGACTCCAATAATGTATTCTGCAATGGGCATAATTTATCAACAGCTGCGAGTGAGAGCGACCGGGACCAACGTGCACCTCTGGGACGTAGCGAGAGTCAAGCAATCTCAAGCATCAGGGAATCTTCTCAAGAGTGTGATGTTGACAGAGGTGGGTAGCTTCCATGTTGATTCATATCAGTGTCTCCTGCATCTCCATGGCAAAAGTATAATACACACTCGCACGCACACGCACAGATATGCACATACACACATGTATATATCACACTGGAGAATTAAGAGCAAGTTGTGCACTAAGTTATGGATCGCAAAATGGAAAATGTCGCAAATTATTTAAATTCTATGTAGGAAAACCATTCCGTCGCGTGGCATCATGTCCAGATGCCAAGCAGTTGGTGAACCAACCAGATCCAGTTCATGACGTATGTGATATTAAAGTGAAGATAGCAGACCTTGGAAATGCATGTTGGTCGGTAAGTATATTTGCATAATGCATATATAGGTAAGTAGAAGATATACTTCAGTAAAATCGTTTGGAAATGAACTTATGTTTGTTAGGGTTTAGAATCATATTTTGTTCTCCCCCTAACCTTTTTTTTTTTGTTTATCTTTTTAATTTGGTTATTTAACGATTCTGGATCTATACAGCATCAGTTTTCTTTTTGGTGTTCTCCCAGAATCCATCCTTGAAACCTTAATCTTCCACAGTAGCGTAAATATGCTTTCACTTATATGTAGGTCTCCCTCTCTTCATGCACCTCCTGCTCCTCCTCATCCTACTCTTCATGTTCTTCATACAGCTCCCACTCCTGTGCCTACTCCTGCTCCTACTTCTATACCTAATCCTACACCTCCATTTTCTCCTGCTCCTGCTCCTGCTCTTGTGAAACCTCCTGGTGCTCCCGTTGCTCCTTGTATTCCAGCTTATCCTTCTGCTGATCCTTGTCCTACTCCTGTTACTCATATTCCTACTACTATGCCTACTCCTACTCTTGCATCTGCTCCTTCTGCTCCCACACTTCCTGCTCCTCATCATCATCATCTTCCTTGCTGTTGTCTTCCCCTTGTCATCATCCTTGCCTTTTTGTCATCCTCACCCTCTTCATCATCCTCCCCTGGTCGTCTTTGTTGTTGTCTGCCCCCCTCTTAATTGTCTTCTTCATCATCAGCATCTTTCCCCCTCCCTCTTCCTGCTGTAAACGTTTGCAGTACATTTCTGGTAATATTTCCTCAATGCATTCAGTATGACTACCATTTTAGGACTCTGTTTTGTAGTTCCTTCATCACTTATGAAGTTACTCCATTTCTTGCCATGATAGTTCATTCCTAGCTCTGCTTTCCATTGTTATATGAAGACATCTTAAATAATGGGACTCATCAGCCCTTGTTTTGTTTCCCAGTTGTTCCAGTCATTGACCACATTTCCTCTCCATAAAACAGAATACTTTCAACTGTGCTATGAAATACATTTTTGCTTAATTTCCTGAGATTATATTTTATTACATAAGATTTCAAGTAAGGTTTTTCTTAAAATTCTCCGAGGGATTGTCTTTAAATATCTCTGTCACATGTTTCACCATTTGTTATTGACCCAAAGCATTTAAAGGAGTCACAGTTTTAATGAATCCTTCCCCTATGTCTAACTTCCCAATTTCTTTCTGTGTACATAGGTACATTAGTTTAGTTTTAACACCAAGTTCTTTATTTTACTCTTTTAATGTCTTTATCATGTGCCTCACTTCTTTTTAACCTTATACAGACATCATTTGGCAATGTGAGTATTCTGCTCCTTAACTTAGAACCTTCATTCTGATGAAAGCCTGCTCAAAATACATAATATTATTAAATATTGTTTAATTTATACACACTGATTATGTATGTTACAGTATCACCATTTTACAGAAGATATCCAGACACGACAGTACCGTTGTTTGGAAGTACTGTTGGGTGCTGGATATGGAACACCAGCTGACATCTGGAGTACTGCCTGCATGGTGAGTGACACACCAGATAACACTGAAAAAGAAATTGGCATTTATTGCTCTCACTCAGCCACTCATGGAGCTCAGCCCTTCTTCAGAAGCCGCCAATTCTGCAGCTACTCAAGAGCTTCTCAAGATGTTATGGAACCCGACGGTTCATTACCGTGTTCACAAGAGCCCTCCGCTGGTCCCTATCCTGAGCCAGATCAATCCATACCATCTCATCATATTTCTCCAAGATCCATTTTAATATTATCAAACTACGTATGTGTTGGGCCTTCTCAGTGGTCTCTTTCCTTCTGGCTTTCCCAACAATATTCTATATGCATTCTGCTTCGCCCCTTTTCATGCTACATGCCCTGCCCATCTCATCCTCCTTGACTTGATCATTCTAATTATACTTGGAGAAGAGTACAAGTTACGAAGCTCCTCATTATGCAGTTTTCTCCAACCTCCTGTCACTTCATCCCTTTTCAGTCCAAATATTCTCCTCCGCACCCTCAGTCTATGTTCCTCCTTTAATATCGGAGACCAAGTTTCACACCCATACAGAGCCACAGTCAGAATTATTGAATGTTATAAAGTTAAAGTAGTGTTAAACTCTTACCTGTCCCTACCTCCTCAATATGTGTGAAAATATATGTTTGTGTATAATCATAAAATTATTGGTACAGTGAAACTTCTATGATAAATTTTACAGGCATTTGAGTTAGCCACTGGGGATTACTTGTTTGAGCCTCATTCGGGAGAAGAATATTCCCGTGATGAGGACCACTTGGCACACATCATTGAACTACTTGGAAATATCCCCAGGCATATAATGTTCTCTGGAAAATATTCCCGTGAATTCTTCAATAAGAAAGGTAAAGTTTGTTCTTAACACTGAAAGCTTGTTACTCAAAGCTACTGGCATGTAATTTATATGTCATTTGCCGGAATGGATGTTCATTTTACAATGAAAGTGTAACATGCATTAGGATTCCCTTACAACCTCATAACACTCCATAAGAAACACAATATTTGTATACCCCCAACTGCATGTACTGTTTTAGCTCACTCGGAAGCCAGGGTTGTGGGTTTGAATCCCACTTGGGGCATGGATGTTTGGAATCTGTGCGTTTTTCTGTTTGTGGTGGCCTGTGTTTAGGTACATGCCTTGCGACAAGCTGATAACCCATCCAAGGAATCCTACCGTCTGTAAAAACGATAAAGAAACTGAGAAATCAGCCCTGTATGCTCCAAAGTGTAAGCAGGAGGAACAAAATATACCCCCTACAATCTTTCTTTACAACAAATGCTTTGGTAATCATATTGAATTTTTTCCAAAACTGAGTTTTAAACAAAATGGGTTTCCAAAGTTTGGGTAAGTTAATCTTCAGCAAAAATGAATTCTGCTATAGTTGTTCAAGAAAATTTTTTGGACCATTCTGCATTCAAAGGATCCTCACGTTTTTCCAAATATGGAGTATTTCTTCGTTACCACTTTCCTAACTGTAATTATTCTGTGTTAAAAGAAGAGGCTGCAATACTCCCCAGGAAAATTATTTAATTAATTCCTGGTACTCATTTGTGTTAGAGGCTGAGTTGACCCCAGCGCCATAGTGCAGCTGGAAGGATTAGGTAAATTGAAAAACAATCCAATATCTCCCTCTATGACAGACTTCTGAATTAAGGAGTGAACTCTATATGACTTCTTGCTAAATTATCTGTGATTATAATCTGTTATTTCTTGTCAGGTTGTACTCAGACACGTGGTTTTCTTGAAGATACTGTGTTATGGGAAGTGCTACCACAGTTTGTGCGATGTCCCCTTCTTTGTTGACATATGGGGACAGCCGCCAGTCAACCAGAGAACTGAGATCAGTAGTGGGCCCATTGTTCACTCCAATCTGACTGTGGTTGTTCAATGATCTCTGGCAATGATAGAGCCAGGATTTTTCTATTGAGGCCCTTCTATCATCTCTAACCATGCAGAGGCCAGGATATTCATTCTGTGCCCAGCCAGTGTGGGGTTGGAGTCATTCCCTCCACATTTCATGCACATGGCGGTATCTGAGAGGACATTAAAACATAAGGGGTGTCTCAATGACACACAATGGCCAGTCAGCAGCCCTTTTACCAGACTACTCTGTTTGCTGTCCAACACAGATGTGTAGGCAGTTTATCCAAAGGCTCTTCAATAAATAGTGTGACATGTTGCGCAACGGAGGACCCCTACCTCCCCAGCGGCACGTGGCAGTAACGTAGCGCTCTCGTAATAGGCGAGTCATTACCCCGCCACTCTCCCCGCGGTGATGTGCCGAGCGGAGCCAAAGTTAGCCGAGTCCCCACAACCTGGTAGCTATGCAACACGAGTCAACAGCGGTGATGTCACCAAGGGATATCACGGTTGCTAGGCAGCAGTCAACAACTCCAGACAGCGTTGCTAGCAACATGGCACCAGACGACAATGGTCCGGAACGAGGCTACATAAGGAGCAGCGAAGGCTATTCACAGTTAGTTCCGAGCAAGCCTACGAGTCGAGTTGACACATAGCAGCAGTCGCGATAAGAAGACGCGAACGTGTGGTTACAAGATTTTATGTGACAGTGTGCGATAACTAAGAAGTCAGCGAGCGGAAGACTTATTGTGTGCTTTCGAGACTTAGTGAGCGCTGTAGTACAGTTATATTTGGAGTGTGTCATTCAGGGAGATTTGTATAGCTCCCGCGTTATTAGTACGTGAAGACTTTGGTTGTAGGGTTTGTAAAGTGTGGAAACCCCACAACTGTGTTATAAATAATTGTAGCCGTTACTTCACACCAGGTGTGACATCCCTGTCTTTGGAGTGCTTCTCATTCAGCCACTCCTTAATATCGAGCCTGTCAGTGCATGGTGAGAGTGAAATTGGTTTAGAACTAAGGACTGAACTGCTGAGTCCCTCCCCAGCCAAGGCATCTGCATCGTCATCGTCCTAAATCCCATTGTGACCAGGGATGTAGAGGGGCGTAACCTTGTTCTGTTTAGACTGTGATCATTGTCTGTAGAGATTCCCACACCAGTTTGATGTTACACTTGATGCCCCAAGGGCCTGGAAAGCTGCCTGGCTACCTGCACATACACATATTTGCTCTTCTGCGTATATTATTCCTTTGTATACTGCCCTTTATGTGGGCTTAAATCTCAAATGTTCTACCTGAAATGCTGTGGGGTGTACATCAAGTGACAAGAGTAGCCTCCTCCTCAGTATGACTATATCTGCCAGCTATTCCGGGTGCTTCTGCATACAGACTAGTCTTTGGAACTTGAAGGGTCATGGGCCAAGCCAAAAGCCAGTGTTCGTGTTAACAGAATATCAAGTTTAACACTTTGCAGACCGGCAATTTAAATATTTAAATCACCCTGGGGACCGGCATTTTTATACCTACTACCCTAACTTGTGCACTGTTCACTTTAAAAATTAATATAAAATCTCCTAATTAATTTTATGAACTAAAATTTTTGGAGAACACTTACCAGTGCTCCTAGAAGTGCTTGAGGGTGTGATATTTCTGGAAACATTCCCCTTTGTGAACTGCGCAAACATGGCATTGCCTAGAAGGATGCTTCCCCTTGGAATGTTCACTCTTCACAATTATCACGACGGTATGTTTCTGCATATCACCCAAGAGTCTCCCAGGGGTGTCCACATGAGGCATGCGTGGGGTGGGAGTTTATGGGCTAGGTCGCACTAAGTCTGTCTGACTCTGATTCTGCTGCCACCATGCCACGGTCTAATGTAGTGTTGTCACGATGTTTTCGAAACAGGAACAACAGAGTTGGGTAAAGATTGAATGTGCCAGAGGCCGTACAGCACGACAGTGTCATCAAGGTCTTCAAGAGGCTTGCGGGGAATCTGCATTGCCTTACAGAACAATGGCAAAATGAGTAAAAGCCTTCAATGAGGAACGCCAAAATTTGGCAAGAAATGTGTCAGCCAGGTCATCCTGGTGTCAGTGAAGAAGTGTATGGTCTTTCCACATTACTGGAGAGTGATCGATGCCATACGATTCGTGAGCTGGCCCAAGAGACAGGATTAGCGCATACAACTGTGCTTCACATTCTGAAGGAACGCCTGAGCATGAGAAAAATTGCATCACGATGGGTTTCGCATGAATTGATGGAAATGCAGAAATGGCTACAATATGACGCTGCTTGTAACCAGTTGGAGCGCTGTGATCGCAAAAGAGAGGTTTTCTTACGCCATATCATTACACTGGATGAGACAAATGAGCCACAAATGAAACGCCAATCGAACAAATGGCATCATTATGGGTCACCACAAAATCAAAAGTTCGTCAGAACCCCAGCAATGTGAAAGTTATGGTGATTCTCGTGTACGACTGTGATGGTGTTATCCTAACGCATACCATTCCCTGACAGCAGACCGTCAATGCGCAGTATTACTGTTCATTTTTGGAACACAACCTGTGACCAGCTTTGAGAAAGGTGCTACACTTTCTGAAGAACCCACCCATCATTTTGCAGGACAATGCTCGGCCACATGCAGCGCAAGCTGTGGCTGATTTGTTCGATCGATGGGGCTGGGAAGTGCTGTACCATCCACCATACTCCCCGGACTTAAGCCATTGTGACTTTGACTTGATTCCTAAGATGAAGGAACCAGTTCATGGCATTCGCTTCAGAACTGTTCCAGAGATTCTTCAGGCAGTAGACCGCTCCATTCGAACTATCAACACAACAGGCGCTGCTAAAGGTATCCTATGACTTCCACATCGCTGGCAATGGGTTGTACACAATGCTGGTGACTACATTGAAGGACAGTAAAACTTCGAAACATGCATCTATTTTGTATCAGTTGTAAATAAATAGTTGCCACTGTTAAAGTTCCAATCCTCGTAAGTATATTACTGACCAGCAAAAGACTGTTGCAACTATCTGAAGATCACTGCTGTAAACACAGTGAATGCTGATAGATGGAAGAAACCATGCATGACAGTGGAGTGAAGGCGCCTTTTTCAGATGACTTAACACTTTTCTGTAAGTGCGTCTTTCCACATATGATGAGATATTTTATAAGGCAGTTTCTTGTAATGAATGTCTTTAGTGACGTAAACAAACTGTAGAACTGTGTCAGATTTTTGTTGTTTAAGAATATTATCACGTGTGGCCTATGTAACGCGACAAGTAAATTCACACGGGTGTCGGATTTTGCTAAGACATATATTAGACAATCTCTTCTACACTTCCAAGTACAATTATCATCCACTTATAATGTCGTCAGACATTTCTTACAATGCTGTTATAAATATTTGTTGCACCGCTAATCTTGGTGAAGTCTTCTGTTCCCTTTGTCAGATACGAGCTTGCTCTTGCTCTGGTCGGAGCTACACTAAGAACTCTAAAACTCAAAAGTGACTAGTCTCTTCAAAGCAGGACTTTTATAACTTCCACACAGACTCGATAGGGAATACCATGTTGAAGGGATAAGCTCAGCCACTGCTATGCAGAACTGCTTCCAACAACTCGTGTGTAACGGTGGAAACCACTGTTAGATTGTTAGTCATGTATAGCAATGGATGCATTCTGATTGTAGCATTGTAGCAGGAACTTCACTCATTGCCTAGAAAATCAACCATGATCTCCTCAACCATCCCGGATTCCTGGCGGTATACCACAATATGTTCAGTAAACATTATTCTTCACTTCTATCACGTGTATTACTGTCCACCATAATTGGACCAGGATTATGTATTGACTGTATTGATTGCAGGAGAACTTAGACACATTACCAAACTGAAACCATGGGGCTTGCTGGAAGTTCTGACGGAAAAGTACGACTGGAACCGTGTGGAGGCTGAAGCGTTCGCAAATTTCCTCACGCCTATGTTGGCATTCGATCCCAACATGCGCGCCACTGCAGGAGAGTGCTTGCAGCATCCCTGGCTGAACTTGTGAGGTCAAAACATAAGCCCTCACCAGTATTTCCTATACTTGCTGGTTCAGTATGGTCCTCAGCTAAGTTATCAGATCTGTCCTCTGGCCTGTGAAGTAGAGTCTATAATTCCAGAGAAAGAACTCTTCATTTTAGCATCTTCCATTGCCAATGGAGATGTTGACAGTAATGGAGACCATTCTGAAGTCTCATGAGAAGATATCGAAGATCTGATATGTGGCTAAAGATTTGATGTGTTCTCAAGTTTGTGGGTCAACAGTGAAAATAGAGACTTCTCCATTCCTTGGTACAGAGTCATGTTATATAAATGTAATATTTTTGTAGAGAGTATAATCCTGTAACTGGAAATACAAGAATACAATTTACTCATATGAAATAAGGGCATAAAAGAAAAAAAATGAACACGATGCATTGGTACCAACTTGTGATATCTAGGTTGACATTATGTCTTGGTGATGAAATAGCTTTTGCGTTCCATGCAGCTTGCTGAGTTAGCAGAATTTGGTATATGCAACAGACAGGGTACATAATATTAGTGGTGGCTTTGGTTACAGTGTGTATGTTCCGTGTACCACGTTTTTCCTACTGGAATCATAAATGTACCGTTTAGCTGAGCAGGACAATCAGGTCAGTATTATGTAACAAGGACCAAAGTACACTTGAAATTAGCTGAAATAAATAATGAATTGGTTTCAAGTTTTCTATGCTGTAAGTTTACACCTTTATCTAAAATAACAATGATAGTTTTTACAAATGTGTTAGAAGTGATTGCTACTGTTAATAGTGTCCCACTTGAATTTATGAAAGGTTATGTAGTGGTGTTGGGCTCCATATTTCAAGATGAACTGGACTGCAGATCATATCATGAGAACAACTGGCAACTGATGATATTTTATGCACTTATGTTATACCAGAGTTTATTTGCAAATTTATTGATTTTAATATTAATTTTCTAGAAGTGCCTCGCACTCCTGTCATGAAAGGGCTGTACTGGATTGGAAAATGCTGTGTTTGAAAAGGTGTGCAGGCCACTGTTTCAAATTCTTAGTTTTTTATATCCTCAGTCACAAATTCAACGTCTGCATGTGGTTTTAAAGTGGTATTTCTTCAGAAATTTCTGTATTAGAAGGTCCCTTCAGATTCTCAATTATTGTATCTTCAGTCACACGTGCTTTAGTATGTCTCTGTGATTTTGGAGTGGAACTTCCTTCAGAAACTTCTCTGTTTGAAAGTTCTTCAAATTCTTCACAATTTGTGTGTTGCTGCTTTCAATCACGGATGTTTCTGATCTGGAAATATCCTTGCTGTGTGGAACTTGTGAATTCTTACTTATCTGCATATTAGTTCATCAGTATACATCATTGAAATTGTACTATAATACATTACAAGCACAAATTTGGAAAAAAATAATGATTTATGAAAGGAAATGACAGAAATTATGATGGAATGGTGAGGAAGAAAAAGGAAACAGTGTAACAATAATAGTTTCACAGCATTTAATCAATAAAATACTGAGTGTACAGAACACAGAAAAGAGCGATAACCACACAGACTGGTCTTGTAACTTGTATTCAGAAGATGTTTGTTTGAAATCTTGGCGAAGTCATTGGCTATCCTGAGGTTCTTTGTGGTTTTCTTCAGTCTCTCCAGGGAAATGGCAGTATAGTACCCAGGTAGGCTATGACTCTTTCCTTCCAAATTCTCAGAATTTGTCATCTGTCATACAATTTTACATTATATAGTTTGCAATACTGAAAGCATCATAAAATAAACCATTGAGGAAAACAGTAGAATGATGAAAAAAATCAGTTTTTGTTGGGGAAGCGATAGATGATGTTGAGATAGTGTGCCCCAAGCAGCTCTAATGAAGACAGAAAAGCTTAGCAGATGTGATGTAGAGGGATACAGGTACAATTATAGGGGATTGCAGTGCTCAGATAGAACAGGACAGTATGCGGGGAGTTAAGTGAAGGCAGCAAAGGTAATGAAGGAAGAGATCATTAGACATGGATGTGTCAAGAGGCTGGAGATAATGGATGGACTGAAAAGTCAGTAAGTCTTAAACTGACAAGATATACACAAAATTACTGGGTTTTTGGACTTTTTCCATCCAGAATTCTAGGTAACAAGAGGACACGACTTTTCAGAAACTGGATCTGTTTCCATCTTCAGCTGAGAAAGGAAAACACCTACTCAGTGGTCCAGTGATTGAGATTAGCTCTTCTAAGGGGCCCAACTGAGTGGGTGCCTTCCTTTCTCACCTGAAGACGGAAACGGATCCAGTTTCCGAAACGCCGTGTCCTCTTATTACCTACAGTTCCGGATGATGGAAAAAGTCCAAAAACCCAATGAATGTGTGTGTGATCCACCATCGTCAGAACCCTTTAGAATCTGCTTAACAAGATATAGTTAGGATGGAAAATGAAAGAGCATAATTGGTTACTTAATTAAAAGAAAGGGTTTGAAAACAACCATGAAACATACTTTAAATTTTGACAGTGATCACAGAATTTTGGTGGTACATTTTAAAAGTATTGGAATAATGAAAATTAGTAACAAGGATAAAATGAAAGAATAAGATACTTAAATTACAAAACAGAGAGATCAGAGAGTTCATAAATAAGACAAAAAGAAAAATACCAGCATGTGAAATCAGGTCAGTTGAATAGAAGCTATTTAAAATACACTGTTAATAACAACTGAAGTAGTATATGAAATAATGTCATCAGGGAAGATGAAAAATAAATGAGTAAAACATTTGTGCCTGTGGACCAATTGCAAGAGATACAGGAGAAAACAGGACAAGAGAATGGAGATCAAGACTGGAAAAATAATTCATATTAATTATATGTTTTTCTCTCTTTGGTTATTTAAGGATGCTTTCAGTATTGAGGCTGTATCGCAATGGGTGGGAGGAGGATAGGAGAATGGGAGAGGATACAGAACAAAGTGATTGTACCTAACAGAGTTACTATCCTGGCATTTGCCTAAAGAGGCTGAAGAAAATCATGAGAAATGACAGGCAGGTTAGATGGAGTCTTGGTAGAGATTTGAATTGAATACCTCCCAGATACAAGCCCAGAGCATTACCTCTAGACCAATCTGTTCAGTTGTATTGCATTGTACTGACTTGGAGGGCAACATCCAGCCATTCCAAACACACTGTCCACACTCTGCCTCCAGCCTCAGTATGGTCCTAATATCCATACAGAGGCAATGATGTCCTTTCTGTGCCCATCCAAAGCTGGACAGTAGAAAGATGTGTGGCAGGAGAATTCGTCAGCCTGTTCACATTTCCTGCTTGTTACATTATCTGAGAGGCCCGTAACATGTGGGTGCTGTCTTAATGTGCAATATAGTGGTCAGTCAGCAGTCATTCTACTGGTCTCCTTTGTTTCCTGTCCAGTCACTGTGGGCCTTAAGACTGTTAATCCAAAGGCTCTCTAATAACAAGCTTTGACTGCCTCATTCCTGGTGCGGCTTGTAATGCTTATCTTTCATCCACTCCTTAATCTCAAGTCTACCAACACATGATGAGAGTGAAATTGGTGGTTTGGGACTGTGGAGTGAACTGCTCGGTCCTTCCTTAACCACGCCGTCTGCATATTCTGTGCCTCAAGTCTCGCTGTGACCATGGATCTAGAGGAACAAACATGTTCCATTTATAGAAGGCAGTTATTGCCTGCACACACAGCCAGACTTGCTTTTTCTTACCCTTGATATCTCAAGGGCCTGGCAAAATGCCTGGCTACCTGAACATATACAAATTTGACCTGCTTTATTGTCCATATTCAGTCCTTTACACAAGGAGAGATCATGAAAATTTATGAACAGCAGCAGGTTAGGAATAAGGTCATGCAGAAGGTAGGAAGGAAGGATTAGTAGTTTTGTAAAGTCAGAGGTACATGGTAATACTCGACTGTTATATGACTGATGTAAATGTAGAAGGATCTAAGGAAGAAGAAGGCTTAATATTAATCCATGCTTAATCCCTTTTGAACATTATGTATAGTATATGTGTTCTAATATTTCAGTATTTTGAAAAGATGCTTGGGTTTAAGATTACACAAATTGTGTTGAAACAAAATTAGGATGTGAGATTTGAGGTTTTCACAGCGGTGACTATGAAGAAAGCAGTCTTCTGGTATGTGGCATCGTGTAGATGTCTGTTAACACCACATCTACACGGTGCCACATCCCGGAAGACTGCTTTCTTCAAAATTAGGATGATTAAAAACAAGCAGTGGAGTGAAATAAGGGAGTATCCTCACACCAAACTACTGTAGTGCTATATGGGATGAAGTTATAGGAGAAACTGTAGACCCAGTCAACAGAATATTAATATTTGCAGATGGTGTGTTGATTTGGGGTAAGGACAGGAATTAAGTTGGAAAGAAACTAAAACATTGAAGGTTTATTATAAAGGAATATAAACTGAAAATGAGTATGGACAAAGTGGTGATTATAAGGATTTCAAGGAACCTAGGCACAAATGTCACAGTAAACCTTAATGTGACATTTGTTTATTTTGGAAGTGAAATGGAATCACATGTTAAAATCAACTGAGAGGCCAGTAGAATAGAAAATAGTTTTAAATTTTACCAAAATTTAAAGAGAATATACTAACATACAACACAAGAATATGGGCCATCGCAAAGAGAAACAACAGAATCCAAGCAGTGGTTATGAAATTTTTCATACCCATTGAGAAAAAAAAAACAGGAAAGGTTAGATTTTGAAATTAATGGTTTTGAGAAGAAGTTGAACTCAGAATGTATTAATATAGTCAGAAAATAAATTATTACAATGGCCTGTCTTTGTAAAAAATAGAACCTAACAGGGCATTACAATTAAAATTTAAAGACAGAAACTAAATGTTGACAGTAATGGACTGCATGGCTCTGAGTAAATTTCGTAAATGTACAAGGTTTTACTAGAATGTGAAATTAATGCTCTTGGCTCATAGTTCCAGTTCATCTCAGAGGTGATAAAACATACAGTGCAGTTGCATTTTATGTAAATTCAAAATAGTGTGATATAAAAAAATATTAATATAGTTGTAGTTATGCGCCAAGTTTGAAATAATATGGATTCCAAAAACTTCAGATAGAATCAATTATGTGTTTTTAAACTTGTCTTGAATTATGCAAGGTCTCCAGGAGCACGACCTCACATAAAATGTGACTGCACTGTATTAGCAGTTGTTTTGTGGCATAGGTGAAGACAGATCAGGGTATGGAGTTATGCACACGTTTTAATTAAAAATGTTTCTATGAACAGATGACTTTATAACTGCAGGTGCTGTAATCAGAAACAAGTTCGAAGAAACTAAAACATTTATGTTGAGAAAATGAACACCTGTTAAGTGGAGAAGTCTGTGTTATATTTATATAATTTTAACAAAAAATTAAATTAAATAAATACAAATTTTATAATTCAGAATAAAATGTTACAGCATGTTAACCACAAATATATGGAGGCAATTTGTATTAATGAATGGTATATCTTATCAGTTTTTCATACCTCTGTACATTCCTGGGACTGCATGATATACAGCATATTAATAATGTAGGCCTATTTTTTTTTATGAAATCATATTGAAGTGAATGGAGTGTGATTATGTTGGTGTATACTTACAGGAAAGCTTTTACTGCACTAGCTTGCAGCTGCTGATCTGAGGAATCTCTTTAAACAATAAATGCTATGCAAATATTAATGTCACAGAATGGTATGAAAACTGTTCCAACTTTAGTCCTCCACTATTATATGTTCTTATCCAATAGCAACCTTCATTCTTTTTGTTATAGTTTAAACATCATGATATATTTGGCAGAGGTATATGGGATATGTGAAAACATAATGTAGGCTGATGTTCATCATGTTGGAAGTTGTCCTATATACATAAAACTAACATAATGCCCACTTCAGATCAATTTCAGTGTTTTCACAGGAATGCTGATGGAGGTGCCAATTAATGGCTTCCATGTGGAGGACAAATGAACATGATGTTTAATTATAAACATGTCTTTCAAGATAGCTCATATATTCCCAGCTCTTGAATGCTATGGCTGAAACATTTTTACCTGGTAGCTATAGTCAGGTGCATATGTGTGAGGACATTGTTAGTTAAGTTAAACATAAAGTTAAAGTCAGAGTTGTCCATGTCATGAAATCAGATACATTTCCAGCCTTTGTACACTTAATAGCTACTATTCAGCTTAAGGAACCTTCAGTAACTTTGAACAGCTGACTGGGTAAGCTGCAGAAATATTTCAGACATGATATTAAGCATACAGCACAGGCCAGAATTTGTTTTTCATGTGTGTGTGTGGGTTTAGTTCTGAGGTGAACATGAAATCTGAACTTGAAAAACATTTGTAATAATAATAATAATTCAATTCATGTTTATTTACATGCAAACTTAACAGCTCAGAGGCCGATTACAAAGTTTGCACGAGTACATAGAAATATACAAAAATAATTAAAGAACAAAACACAAAATACAACAGTCTATATAAAGGCAATAAATTAATAATAATAATAATTCAATTCGTGTTTATTTACATGCAAACTTAACAGCACAGAGGCCAATTACAAAGTAAGCACGAATAGATAGAAATACACAAAAATAATTAAAGAACAGAATACAAAATATGACAGTCTATATTAATTACAAAGTGAGCATGAATAAAGATACAGAAACAAACACACAGAGAGAAAGCCACAATGTGACAGAGAAGAACAATTTGAGTTTCAAATAATAATAATAATAATCTAATTTAGATGACAAGAAGCAGCAGCTGAGGTAACATGACATTATTAATTATCTTGTAATTTTTGGAACTTTGTATTTTACTGTCCTGTTGCAGTTACTGTGCGAACAATACACTACGCACTAGCCACCAAAGATGGAAAATGGAGATGTAAACCTTGATATTTTAAATTTGGTAACATTTTAAGGTATAAGCACATTTTGTATATTGCTTCCAGAATTATTTCATTACTTAAAACTGTCACCAAAATTTTACATCAATACAGTGTGTTTTACCCAGTATTGGTTTTGTGTTTTGCATGCTTCCTACCTGTGTCATGAGTAGTGGTG